TATCAGATCAGAACTGAATGTTTATTGAGGGGTGGGGGCTTGAATTTAACCCCCAAGGGGTCATGATTTGAACAAACTAGAATCTACCTTACCTGAGGATGATTCCCTATATATATCACTAAGCATGGCTTTGAAGTACTTGAAAAGAAGATTTAAAAAGGTTTCCCTAATACAATGTATATATTCCTATGTAAAACTTTGATTGGCCATTTGGCTCCACCCTACAACTCAGGGTCATGCTTTGAACAAACTTGAATCTACACTACCTGAGGATGAATCCACATGAGTTTCATCTTTCCTGGCCCAGTGGTTCTTGAGAAGAAGATTTTTTAAAAATGCCATTAATTTTTCTCCGATTCATAATTATCTCCCCTTGGAAAAGGGCGTGGCCATTCATTTGAACAAACTTAAATCCCCTTCACCCAAGAATACTTTGAAGCAAGTTTGGTTGAAATTGACCCAGTGGTTCTTGAGAAGAAGATGAAAATGTGAAAAGTTTATGACAACAACGACGACAACAGACAAATTTTGATCAGAAAAGCTCACTTGAGCCTTAGGCTCAGGTGAGCTAATAATAAAACTATGAATCTCATCTCTATTAGCCTCCCCCTATAAATATTTTCTTTTCTCTCCAATACAAAAAAATATATATATGTACCGTAAAAAAATTTTCATTAACTTTAAAACACTGGTCACCTTACTTCCATCAAAGCACTAGAACAAACTGTAAACAATGAAATAATATGTAGTCTATGTAGGTCTTTTGCTCCCTTGTAATAATTTAAACATATGTAACAATCTGCTGTCATGTAACCAATATATCAAACATGTATCTAGCAAACAAAACAATTACTTCATATAGGAACTAAATTATACTAGGCATACTATTCACTTCATGGCACATGTCTTCCTAAAACTATGAATTCTATAAATTTTAGGAAGTTCAGACAAGGAGCAACTGACGTATACAGAAACCAGGCTGAAAGATATCGAGGAAATTCAAGAACCTATCGAGGGGTACAAAGCTCAACTGAGAGTATTTACAGGGGACAATCCTGCTAGACAATTTGAGTCCGGGCAGCAAAGGGGAGGCAACTACAGTTGTGTATGCGGTGTGAATGCAGCAGATCACCAAAACTTGGTATGCTGCTACAGGATACAGCCTATGTCTTTAGAAGATCGCAGGAAGTTGGTGACAAAAGGGGAATTATGGCACAAATTACAACAAGGAGAGACAAACCCGTTCCAAAAGCTAAAAAAAGAAGACCTTCAAGCAGAGCTAGACCATCATGAATATTTCTCAACAAATGAAACCAAAGGAGAACTACAAGAGGTAATGACCAAAATCCTCCATGGGATCTGTAGGCCACCTGCTCTTATGTGCCATGAGCCAAGCAAGTCAGCAGAACAGATACATATAGATTATTATGAGGTACTGGGCTGTGAGCCACTACATGACATCTGTAATGTTATACAAAATATAATTACAGAATTGCCTACCCATGTCCCAGAGCATCTAAGGAAAGAATTTGAAACTTTTTCTCAAACCACAATTGGCGACAAGAAACAACTAAAGGGTTCAGATGCAAGGCTCTACGCAGTAAAATTATCAAAATTCATGACCTCGAAACATCAAGAAGGGAAAATCGCAGAGAACTTTTTACAGCTCGTCAATAGTCTAATTGAAATAATTCAAATTAGCTATTCAAATGACAAGTCAAGGAACTCCAGACAAATTCTTAGATTATTAAACCAATGCTTCATATTTGCCACATTAAGTAAAACCATATTTGGAAAACCCTCTAAAATGACAAGCAGAAAATTCTTTGGGAGCCATTTTCATGGAATAACAGTTCACCTCCCAGAAACTTATCGACTGTTTTGCTTACGATCTATCATCCCGGAGCAAGAGGAAAGAAGCTTTGGTGACCTGAGACAAATTTCCCTGAGAACAACTAACAGGCAAGCAGAATATGTAATAGACAATGGGATACTTAGATTTAACGCCCAGCAAAAGTTCCAAACTAAGCAAGATTCCCTCAGGAAACAGAATTCAGTCATTAGTCACCAAGCTAAGCTACTGGAAAAACGGGGCAACTCTCGATTCACACAGAAATTCATCCAGCAGAATCCAATTCTTTTCCAATCTCATCTGGAGCGAATTGCAGACTTCATGCTGTGTGGGGAGAATGAGTGGTGGTCAAAATGTGAAGGTGGGATCCAATTCCATGACAGCCTGGATGAAGTAGAAGTCAGAGATGTAGGTCCTCCTGTCCACCATTTTAGGTCTTCCAACCTGCAAAAAGAACGACACCACATCAATACTGACTGGAAGACCTGCTTAGAGAAGTTTAGAACAGGAGAATTGGTGTTACCACTACAAAGACTGAGAGAATACAAGATCGGTGGCAAAATGATGTACATCTACCCCCCTACAGGTAAATAATTTACGATAAATTTCAAAATCATGTCCATGATAAGAAATCATCATAAATACTGTGAATGATCTAATCTTCACTTATGAACTTGTATCATTATTACTTAATATGCAAGTTTTTTTTTTTCTAATCTACAGTGAAAACTGTCTAATCCAACATCTGAATAATCCCACACACCATGAATTCCAACATTAAATTTCTTTTCCCATTCTAGTATTTTCATTAATTTTAACACTGTGCTATCCGACATCTTGTCTATTCCGACAAAAAATCTGTCTCCCAGTACATGTTGGATTAGACAGGTTTCACTGTATTTATATAGTAAATAAGGCCATAATAAAAATATTCCTAGATTCTCAACTCCGCTCGTCCAGATTTTTTTTAATCCCTGCCTCGATTTTTTTTTTATTTCTGTTTTTCTTTGTCTTAATTCTGATCGGGATCGGTATTTAAGTCTTGTTTTTAATCCCGCGATTGACGGCATGATTTTGACAGCTGAAAAGATTGTCATTGCTGAAATATATATTAAACAAGATAAATTGATTGTGAAAGATTGGTGATTATGTGAAGTAATAGATAAACAGACCTTTACTATGACTTTCATTTGAGTATTATAGGTAAATCTACATCAATTGACTACTGGGCAGGTAAAAAAAAATTTTTAAGGTGAAAAAATATAAAAATAAAAGCCACCCGCCCACCCCAATTTTTTAAAAAATTTAGATTTAAATCTAGGAATTTATTTATTATAGCCTAGATGACAAAAAAAAATCCTTCAACAAATATATTTTCAACTTACAGATCCAAGACCAAGTCACAGGAAAGATCATCTCAATGGACCCAAAGAGGATTTGTCCGAACAGCAGGTAACCTACAATTAAGGCTGATCATAATAATTTTATGCTTCATCTTTGACATTCATTAGATTTAAGTTCTTATTTTTCTATTGTTTGTAATGTTATTTTAACTTCTGACCTTAAATTAAAAAGCAATAAGAATTATAGAAAACTGAAAGACATTGCTATGAATTTGTTATGGACAGATAATCTTGAAATTTTTCTACAGGCTGTGGTGGTAAACTTTCTTTTTTTTTACTGGATGAGCCATTACATTGAATAACAGCAATTTACCAAATATTTTAAATACAAATGATAGTTTAAAAACTTATTTATTTTTTAAAAGGTATCTCTTGATGTACCAGAGCTGCAAACAATTCTAGTGGAGGTTGATCATGTGACTGACACAAATGAAGACACACCATGTGCTTATCCAACGACAAGTCAGGTACCAGCTAAAAAAAAAAAAAACTGCCATGAATATTTAAATTACAACAGGTGAGATGACAATTTTTTTTTTACTTACATGAAACAAAATACACAAAATTTCATTACTTACAATTTTCTGTTGGAAACAGGAAACACTTGATTCTCGGGAACCACAGGCAGGTGTTAAGATGAAACTAACCGTCATGGATGATGGTATGGAGCACGACACAGATAATGGCATGGATCAAGGAACTCTCCATTGTCTTGTGCCACAGGTATGGCCTGAAACATAATACTATTCTAAATTCCATCTTAAATTCATGAAGAGGTATATGTTTTGTAGCAAAATATTTAAACTTTTCACAAATTGCAGAGCTCGCAGAATCCAAACTCCTTGATCGAGAAGGAATTAAACAACAATATGCCTGTTTTTAATTCCAAACAGGTAATTACACACAACAATTTTCTGACTTAAAATATTGTTACAAATGACAAAAATTATAAAATGACCAGAAATAGGGTGTGTGTGTTTTATTAAAGATGAAATATTTTAACTAAATTTTTTTTAGAGAACAAATGTCATGATTATAATTTACAAAAAATTACAATACTTACCTGTAGTATTTTGTACAGATGATGTTCAAGGATTCCATTCTCTCGGAATGTGACATCACCGGCCAACCAGCATCTACAATAAACCAAGACAAACCTAAGTCAAAGGTATTTCTATTGAAATTTTTTTGAGTCATTAAATTTCATAATTGCAATTTACCAAATATTTTTTAATACAAATGATAGTTTAAAATCTTACTTATTTTTTAAAAGGTATCACTTGATGTACCAGAACTGCGAACAATGCTAGTGGAGGTTGATCATGTGACTGACACAAATGAGGACACACCATGTGCTTATCCAACGACAAGTCAGGTACCAGCTAAAAAAAAAAAAAAATGCTATGAATATTTAAATTACGAACAGGTGAGATGACAATTTTTTTTTTACTTACATGAAACAAAATACACAAAATTTCATTACTTACAATTTTCTGTTGGAAACAGGAAACACTTGATTCTCGGGAACCACAGGCAGGTGTTAAGATGAAACTAACCGTCATGGATGATGGTATGGAGCATGACACAGATAATGGCATGGATCAAGGAACTCTCCATTGTCTTGTGCCACAGGTATGGCCTGAAACATAATACTATTCTAAATTCCATCTTAAATTCATGAAGAAGTATACGTATTGTAGCAAAATATCTAAACTTTTCACAAATTGCAGAGCTCGCAGAATCCAAACTCCTTGATCGAGAAGGAATTAAACAACAATATGCCTGTTTTTAATTCCAAACAGGTAATTACACACAACAATTTTCTGACTTAAAATATTGTTACAAATGACAAAAATTATAAAATGACCAGAAATAGGGTGTGTGTGTTTTATTAAAGATGAAATATTTTAACTAAATTTTTTTTAGAGAACAAATGTCATGATTATAATTTACAAAAAATTACAATACTTACCTGTAGTATTTTTTACAGATGATGTCCAAGGATTCCATTCTCTCGGAATGTGACATCACCGGCCAACCAGCATCTACAATAAACCAGGACAAACCTAAGTCAAAGGTATTTCTCTTGAAATTTTTGTTAGAAATATATATAGAAAGTACAACAGTTGGGGCAAGTGCAAACTTAATAATCAGTTTTAGTTTAGATCAGACTCATCAAACAGCACATGGCATTTGGTGCATCTAGACTCTGACGTCACATGACATCATGTGTAAATTGCATTACCAAAACCATGTCTGAACATTTCTGACTTAATTAGAGTACATTTTTTTCCCATTTATCTGCAATATTTCCAATTAAATCAAGGCGAGTTTTTAATTATTTGCTGAACTTTTGTTGTAATTCTCACGAGAACATAGCTTTATGAAGCAATGTATTGTCGGTACATTTACTGCAGACAAGAGGCCCATGGGCCACATCGCTCACCTGAGAAGATTTGACCATTCTGTTCTTTACCAGATTTCCCCCTTGTTATACATAATGCATCCCCACCCTACCCCACTGATCATAATTTAGACATTTTGAAATCTACACTACCCCATGATCCTTCCATGGGCACATATGTTTCAGCTTTTTTGGCCCAGTGGTTCCTGAGAAGAAGATTTTTCCTATATATTTCTATATAAAACTTTGATTCCCCATTGTGGCCCCGCCCTTCTCCCGGGGGTCATTATTTGAACAATTTAGAATCTACATTATACCAGGATGCTTCCACATAAGTTTCAGCTTTTCTGGCCCAGTGGTTCTTGAGAAGAAGATTTTCAAAGATTTTTCCTATATATTTCTATAGAAAACTTTGATTCCCCATTGTGGCCCCGCCTTTCCCCTGGGGGTCATGATTTGAACAATTTAGAATCTACACTACCCCAGGATGCTTCCACATAAGTTTCAGCTTTACTGGCCCAGTGGTTCTTGAGAAGAAGATTTTCAAAGATTTTTCCTATATATTTCTATAAAAAACTTTGATTCCCCATTGTAGCCTCACCCTTCCCCCGGGGGTCATTATTTTTACAATTTAGAATCTACATTATACCCGGTTGCTTCCACATAAGTTTCAGCTTTTCTGGCCCAGTGGTCCTTGAGAAGAAGATTTTCAAAGATTTTTCCTATATATTTCTTTGTAAAACTTTGATTCCCCATTGTGGCCCCGCCCTTCCCCTGGGGGTCATGATTTGAATAATTTAGAATCTACACTACCCCAGGATGCTTCCACATAAGTTTCAGCTTTACTGGCCCAGTGGTTCTTGAGAAGAAGATTTTCAAAGATTTTTCCTATATATTTCTATGTAAAACTTTGATTCCCCATTGTGGCCCCGCCCTTCCCCCGGGGGTCATGATTTGAACAATTTAGAATCTACACTACCCCAGGATGCTTCCACATAAGTTTCAGCTTTACTGGCCCAGTGGTTCTTGAGAAGAAGATTTTCAAAGATTTTTCCTATATATTTCTATGTAAAACTTTGATTCCCCATTGTGGCCCCGCCTTTCCCCCGGGGGTCATGATTTGAACAATTTAGAATCTACACTACCCTAGGATGCTTCCACATAAGTTTCAGCTTTACTGGCCCTGTGGTTCTTGAGAAGAAGATTTTTTAATGACCCAACCCTATTTTTGTCTTTTCTTGATTATCTCCCCTTGCGAGGGGATATGTCCCTTCATTTTTACAATTTAAATTCCCCTTCACCCAAGGATACTTTGTACCAAGTTTGGTCAAAATTGGCCCAGTGGTTCTTGAGAAGAAGTCGAAAATGTGAAAAGTTTACAGACGGACGGACGGACGGACAGACGGACAGACGGACGGACGACGGACAAAATGTGATCAGAAAAGCTCACTTGAGCCTTCGGCTCAGGTGAGCTAAAAAAATACAATTGAATGAAAAAATCAAATGTACAGCAATCCAAATTTTTTTTCATCCAGGTGTGGTCATTCGAACTTGCAGTGACAAGCGTCACTTAGCGACGCTCACTTTCAGCTTTTAAGAAATAATGATTGAATTGTTTGTTACTTTTTTTGACAAAGCATTTTGTAAATATTCTTAACACAGAAACCTTGGGAAAAAAGATGATCAAAATGCCATGAATATATTGAACAAATATCGAATAATTACATATTTAGCACTGGCGTCTGAAGCAAATTGAAAGTGGGGGGCTATGTGTAAAAAAAAAATTGTACCTTCAAATAAAACCTGACAAGCAAAAAAAAAAAAGGAAATGTTCATTTCCCAAACACGAAAATCCTATTTCATGGGGGGTGGGGGTTAGGGGTTAGGTTCGAACTTCACTACCAAAAATTTTCCAATCACCACTTCTTTCCCAAATTTTAACCTATACTAAGACGTACCTGTGAAAAGTGGGGGGGGGGGCTAAACCTACGAAGATATGTTCAATGTCTATTCTTAGCATATATTTGGAAAAAAAGTTGGGGGCTAAGCCCCCCCCCCCCGGTTCCGACGCCTATGTTTAGGAAATTGTGAATGATGATGTTCTTTCTACTTTCATTATCGACAGTTACATATTAATTTCACTTTTCTATTGAATTGAAGACTTGCAAGAGAAAAGAGGCAGGGCCAGCAAATGGAGCTCAAGTTATTGGTACGTATTTCTCACTTTTCAGTAGATGTACTTAAAATAACTTTAATCCAAATCACATACTGATTTTTATCCACAGAATTTATACCTATCACGTACACCATAAAATTGAAATTTTTGTTAATGCATTTAAAAATTTTATATATATATCATTTCTATTCAGACAAATATGCATCAAAAAAATCTTGCCAAAGGAGATTGTTTGTTTGTGAAGATAGTGAAAATATTCCAAGTAAGTATATGAATGATTTAAATTATTAAAATTTATTATATTGTCTTCTGAAAACAAAAATATGTATGGACATTGTTAAATGAGATGTGAACAGGTCTGAGATAAAAGTTAATCATTTTCTAAGCCCTTTATAGTAATTCGGCTGATTTTTTTCAATCACAGATAGATTACAAACAACCACAGAAATGCTACATTTCTTACTTGGAGACTCGGGGCTCTTCACAGAATACCAAAAGTTCAGAAAGCTCTCTCGGATGCATCCCGCTGACAAAAGTTTTAAGCAGTGCTACGACTCTGTCCTGGCTCGTGTTCAAACAACAGTCTCTAAAATTCAAAATGATGCTGGCAAGAACCCCCTGCAAATGAAAGAAAAGAAGAAAGTCTGTGAACAGCTGATGTTACACTGGGGAATGTACTATTTCTAAATATTCATTTTGGTCAAAATTGTACAATTAAATGATCATATCTGACAGTTGTGTTCTGTTTACATAAAAATAATAAAAGTGAGCTGAAAATAATCAAAACAGTAATAGGCCTATATTGCACGGAGTGATGGGATATTTTCATACCAGTATCGTCATTGTCCACAATTTGGATATCAAAACGGTCTGCGTTCATTCATGCTGCTTGATACCCTGTGCACATGCTAAAATATAGTCTTCGGAGTGTATTTGCTACGATATATTGAGCCCTAAATGATTATGAAGTTGAATTTAAAGGCTAAATTTTAAACAAACAAGATGTTTTCAAAATCAGTTTAACACTTTGCAGACATCGCAGTCTCGATTTGAAACTGGGTCACCACATGGTGTTGTGAATGAAACAAAACTTCGCAATTAGGCCCCTTTTTGACCGACAAAATCATTTCGCTGCTATATAAACTTAACAAAATTCAGTTGCAAACCTTGGTTTAGTAAAATATATAAGTACCTACCCGATTATTCATCACAAATGCTGTTAAATCATCAATACAGCGAGAGCACCTGCACCTCACGTCTTTCCGTGTGAACGAGTGTTGTCAAGCGCCCTCACGACGTAGAATCCGAGTCATAAGACAATTCCATCGTGCTGATTCTTCGTAAATTCTGCCTCTTATTTGTCATAAGATGCAAATATGTGTAATTTGATAGTGAATTTTTCAATTTTTATATTTATACAAGCTTATTTTACTTCTCAGACGCATATTTTTCCGATTTTTCCTTATATGGAAAAAAGAAGGCGGAGCTTGCGTCGTTACGTCACATCTCATTATCCCTCATTAGCATATCGTTTTCAATGGGTAACCTTAACTGTACTGCGAGGGAAATAATAGTATCTTTCATCTGTATGACTGCTTTGTATGTTAATAAGGTCGCCTTTTCAGAGTCACCTTCTAAAAATCTAGAATCATAAAAGATTCATCCCACAACAAAATTTTAACCTTTCAAACCGTACATGCAGAAGAATTTTCCTTTTCAGAAAAAAATTTACTATAAAAAAACCAACAATACTTCATTATCCTACCCTGTAGTATGGTTTCTCTCTGCATTGTTATCCCTTTTCGGTGCTACATTTCGACAAAACCCAGATGAGTATGACAAATGAGCAAGAATTTTAAAAAATACTCACCTTTAAGAGGAAAATTTTAAATTTTCAACTACATTGTATCAAAGAAAGCACGTTTTATATTATTTGTAAAATACCTATGGTAGAGGCCTATAGTAGAAACATCGTACCATTTATTGATAAATTCCCCTCTAAAGCATCCACTTTGGAAACTTAAGATAATACTTTTAAAGGACAATCATACTTGACATTATATATGTAATATAATGTAGGGCTATGTCATCGTTCAGAGGTTCGAAAATAGTAATTTTTATTACAAAAATGTGACCTTAATTTGTGCGAAAAACCATGTGAGCTAAAAAAGTTTGTTTAGCTGTATTTGAAGCATTAAATAAAATAGAGACCTGGTGCTTTCATACCCCATTAAAACATTTCTCCTAAATGTTCAGGTCTTGGAGAACTGGCTTTATGAAATTGCAATCATGTTATTGATGTTTTAGGTAAACAGGTATAATTGAATACTTTCAGTGAAGAAAAATAATATGAGCGTACTTTCTAATCTAAAATAAATTAAATCATGTCCATTAATCCTCAGAAACAGTTCTATCATTTACTAGTTGCATACATGTATTTTAGATCAGAGGTTGCGCTCTGTATCAAATATCAAAAAATAGCTTTAAAAATTGGCCGTTTTGTAGCCTTTTTCAGAATATGAGGAAATTGACGCATTTCGTGACGTCATAATGCATTGACTAGCCAGAAAATGACGTCATTTTTGATAGATACGCAGTCGCCAAAGATCTAAGTGATATTTAATGCATTGTTAACTAAAACTATGCAGTTTCAGTTTTTCAGAAATTCACAGGGCCAAATAAGGCAAAAGTGAACATTGTTCTTTGAAAATGGATCACCGTTTGTTTTATGAATTTCATCTTACAGAATGTTCAGATTGTAACTGTGTTGGTGATAAAACCAGCGAGAGTGGCGTTTATGAAATAACTGTTGACGGAAACCTGACCTCTGTTTATTGTGAAATGAAAGATGGTCACACATGGATGGTAATTGGACAAGCAAATGAAATAGAATTTCTTTTATCTAACTTGATATTTTATTTTAATTGAAACAGAAAGTTTCTTATTTTAATGTCTATGATCATATGTCGTGTTATTAGATAGGCTTACATAATCAGAAAGATACATGCACTTGTATTTTTGCCTTTTCAGACCATTTTCAGAAGAACGATCGGTGATGTTCCCTTTAATGTTGGTTGGTCGAGTTATGAAACTGGATTTGGGAACAAAGAAGGCGATCACTGGATAGGTAAACCTTATTGTAATTAATATTGGGTTGTAATGTATTGCTTTTTTCATCGATTTTAACATGTTGAAGTGGTGACTATGATTAAGAAAAAAGTTGTTCTTACAACTAATTGTGTTATTTTTCCCAGAAAAAAACCAATAATTTTTTTTCATTCATTATTAAAGAAATAACACTGGTAAAAATGTACACTTATCTTAAAAACAAATATATAATGGTAATTGAAAAACATGGGAGCGATTTATGTTACATGTATAATGATATCGATATAAAAAGTGTTCGTTCGTTCATTTCATAATCAGGTTTAAAGATTATGAACCATTTCACGACTTCCGGTTGGAGCAGTTTGAGAATTGAGATGGAGGACATCGTTGGCTATTTTGGTTATGCTCAATATAGCAGATTCCTGGTGGACAGTGCCTCTGTTGATTATCAACTGACATTATCAGGATACTCTGGAACTGCTGGTTGTAAGTTACCTTTCAGGAAAATCAAGTAAAACTTTTTAACTCAAGGTCAATCGGAATTATTCCTATCGACCCTGAAAAATTATTGATTTCCTAAACTGTGTTTTTTTGCAATATGTAAGACTTAAACCAGATATTCCAACGATAAGTAATCCAAATATTCTTTACTTAAAGGAAAAATACTTTTTATTCTTATTGCTAGTGTTTTAAAGATGTAATACATGCAGGTCTTAGAAGAGGATAAACGTGTAAAACACAATGCAAACTTAGTGACAGCACATATCTTCAAACACAATGTGACAAAAAGAATTTGAACATAATCTTTCCATGTCAACGTATTGTAAACATGTCTTTAACGTTTCGAAATAAAATTGTCTTAATCTGTTAAACTGATTTTTTTATATGTAATTTATACCTACCTTATGCACCTTTCATACGAATCTAAGTGTAAGAAAAAAATTAAAAAGACGAAGTGTATGTATTCATTATGCAGTATCTTTGTATAAGCGGCGCACATGTATACAACATTACGTATATCTCACAAGAGTTTCATTTTCATTAACCAGTTGATTCCTTCAGCTACCACAACAACATGAAGTTCTCCACAAAAGATCGAGACAACGATTTATCAACAACGAAAAACTGCGCGTCAAATTACGGCAATCCATGGTGGAACCGAGACTGCTTCCGGGTCAAGTTCACTACCAACACCTTTACCAGTCTCGGCTGGTACAATTGGTTCACCGGAAATTACCAACAGCTGACGAGGATCACGATGATTATTAGAAAACCATTCGGATAATGAACCAAAAATGTGGTATTTTTTATACTGTGAATTCTCCTTATTGCGAAATGGCAAACTGTACAATTATGTCATGTAAAAATAGTAGGACATCATTGTATATATATTTTTCCTTTCTTGCTAGATTAAAATATTGAAATTGTTTATGCAGTACTTTTTTAGCTAAAGCTGACAATAAATAACTAGAAGGAATAAAGAGCAGTCAATTTAGAGGAAATTATAAGAAATCTCAATGTGATACATTTGGAGCATGAAACTTGGAGTGGAATTTCCAAAAAATAAATTTTGTTAAAGGAAAATATTACATAGAGCATTGCATCTGGTGGAAATCTATAAATCAGATCATATAGCAAATGTTCTACCACCAGGTTTCCGCCAGTACTCTTGTAGGAATTATCACAGTTCCGGGTCTTAGTTTTATTATGCATGGAAATAAAAGGTTCAATAGACCTATCAAAAACTTTTTTGTTGCAACATAATACAGTGGCTGCAACGGTATTGTTGACAAACCAATCTTGTAAAATCGTTCGTGTATCGTGCGTGATCGTTCGTGTAACATGCGAGATCGTGCGTGTATCAGATTCAATCGTTTGCTTTTTTAATCGTGCGAGATCGTGCGTTTAGAATCGTGTAAATTTCGTTCTGTAAATTTTTATCAGAATGTTATTTGTTAAATAAGCATTTATATTGTTGTTTGTTTTTTAATTTTTTTATTTAATTGCAAATAAAATGAATGAAGCACAATTTACATAAATAAATGCAGATCGAACTAATTATTACTCGTAACAAGCAATATAGTAAGTCGTACATTAAGTTCTCGTAAAATAGGGCGATCAATAATGTGATACACCGTACTTAGATCTTGAACGTTTTTTTAAATCTAATTTCATTCTTATTTACTGCTAATTTTGGTAAAGATATTTTTAAAATCGAGACATCAAAAATAGATATTCTTTTTCTTACAAATGCATAAATATTTCTCAATGCATACATAAATATCTAGTCGACGAATATACATGTACACGATATGACTTTCGGGGTTTTTGATTTTCTGTGTTTATATCTGGAGCTTACTTTTTAATATTTTTTTTAATTTCTGCACATAAAAAAAGTTAAATAATTGGCAAGTCCATTTTTAGAGATTCACAGACATTGAATCAATGGGAGCAGACGGATATAATTTGTAATTTAAGTCATCCATGCTGACATTTTTTTCAATCGTATCCCCCTTTCTGCATATCATGAAATACAATTCAATCAAATTATACGGCCCACATACATATACATCCTCTGATAGAACGGAGAATTACCTAAATAATTATTTATAATCTAAAATATAAAGTCTTACATGTATTTAGTTACAGAAATATCCATTTCCGGGTTTTCAAAAGTCTATGAAATATTAATATTGATAATTCTTTGAAATCTTAAATTAGTACTAAGCCATATTTCGTATTGAAAATATCGATTCCTAAATATTTTGAACTATTTTGAGTGAAGAATCGTGCGTTTGCGTTAGCAATCGTGAAAGATCGTGTAACGTGTAGAATCATGTGCGTGAAGGATCGTTCGTGTAACAGGTTTAATCGTGCGTTAATCGTGCAGGATCGTTCGTGTAACGTGATCGTTCGTGTAAGTTGTCAACAATAACGTTGCAGCCACTGTATTTTAACAGCGGATTATGTTACAAGTAGCATTTGAAGTTCTACAAAGCGTTTGGTGAAGGGAGAATATTTTACGAATTACTCTAGTTCTTGGTCAAAGGAGATGGGTGAACATGACGAGAGATAAGCCAATAGCGCGACAAACATAAAGGTGAAAAATTTCATCAAAATTTTCCTTAATATTTCATCTAACATTAAAGTATACTTTATGTAAAATCTCCACAACTTGCACAAATCTCATGAAAATTGAAATTATTTGCTTATGAAATATTATACACACACGAAAGAGGACAAAACGAGACATTTTTTTCACACTATAACACTATTTTTCGTTATGAGTGGGTCTTATCTCCATTTTTTAGAAAGGTAATCCTCAAAGTTTGCATAAAAACAAACATATTTTGGTTTCCAAAATTATGGAGCAATGACCAATTACACTTTAAAAATATAAGTTTAAGACATAACTTTCGTATCTTTTCCAGAAATACTTGAAGTCCCTTAAGTCAGTGGTCATATCACAAACAAGATTTAAATGCCACACATCATCAGGACTTATGTAGCGTAGTGGTTAGCGTGCTAGTCTCAATAGAGAATGCAACTCAGGATTTTTATTACCAGGGTTCGAACCCAATGGATACCACATCAATTTTTTTTTATATAAAAGAATAAATGTTAACGAAAAATTTTCCTCAAAACTTTTTGTTTCTCATGATTTCAAAAAAATCAATGATGAGAACTTTACTCTAAATACTAATTTCACAATTTGAATATGATTTTTATATATCTGAAGCTATTGGCCTTTCTGCACGCTAAGTTCACCCAACTCCTTATTCGAGCATAACCTGGTTTTTACGCTTTATAATCTACAGCATCATTAAAAAAAAACTGTGGGTATAGAATTGCGTTGCTTTTTATTGGGTCAAATATGCCGCTCAAAGACACAACCGTATTACGAAAGTGGTGTTCATATGTGGTAAGATCCAGCAATTGTTTGAATTTAGAGGTACATTTAGTAAATCTGGAATTTTCCAGAAATCCTGGGGACTGGAAATTAGAGGACTGCATGAATACAGATGAATCAGCCTGTTGTCGGTGGGGGAGGGGGGTTGTCCCCATACCAAAACAGGTTATGCAGAAATAATTTGTGTTCCTTTTTGGATACGCGTATTAACCAGTCCGAGGCTTGCAAACATGTATAGTGTACAAGCAATTAACTACATCAATAAAGATCAAACTAGTACTGATTTGCTAATAATGCCCCGTTATTGATCTCATGGTCTTATTTTCTGCGAAAGTAAGCAATGGTGAACGAAAGCTGCAGCTGCTTACTATTAGCAGCTGTACTTTATTCAATTTCAAATTATAATAATAAGCAAGATTTTAAAGATCTTTAAACATCCCATTTTGCTAGTCAATAATTCCCTTCCATTGTAAAATTTCATAAGTTTCAAGACATACAAATAGTACAACAAGCAAGTGTATGAAGTGTTCTTCTTCATTTTATTATGATAAAGATAAAGCTTATTTAAAAGAGCCGCCAAAGTACTAATTTATCCAGGCATATGGCCATAACTTGGCATTGTTCATCCAATACTTGCATTCTGTTTCATGGTAGTTCTTTGCAACCGATATAGTGGTATTCAGTATTGCCACAGAATTTTCGAATGTTTCCCAGGTTTCTGTGAAAGGTTTACCCGTATGAACAAAGGACAATATTTCCCTTCTCATAACCTCTGAAAACATTTTGTCCGACTGTTGAACTGTTATATAATCAACAATGGTCCCGAAAAACGCTAACATATCCCAAGCATGCATGGAATATCGAGCTGGAAAAGGTAGTCCAAACAGATGAATCGGAGCCGAGGGTGCTGACGTCACCACATAGCGGTAAACAGGTGATTTGAATGTTTTCGCTGCTTTCGTAGCTAAAATATCATTTGGGCACGTGACACGAATGTCGGAAACGAGGCTAGTAAACTGGTACTCCGGGGTAACGTTGTACATGGGATAAAATTCAAGTGCCCGTTTTGCGACATCCATTCCGAATGTTCCCAACTTTGAAGTTACGACGTTTTCATAATGTGACCAAGTCCAGTTGTAAAGATCATTATATGAAGGTTGGTAATCTATTTCTTGTCCAGTTGTACCTTAACATAATTTTTTAATAAATGAAAGAGAAGTAGCTCATCATTTATTTCATCGAAAAGAAAAGTAAGGTAAATTTTACTTTAAAATCTATACGCGAATTGAAAGGCAATGCTTTAGACTGTGAGTCTAAGAAAGGAACTTACATGTATTGTCAATTTGAAAATTTCTTCTTATGTTGAGTTAACGTAGATTTCATAAAGGAAATCCAAAACAATTCTAAAATTTTAGATATTCTCTTAATTTGTCCTATCAAATTAATCTTCTGCAATGTTTAACTGAATTGTATAATTCATATTTTTCCTTGTTAACAATATTACAATTTATTGCAGTTAACCTGATATGTATATAGAAAATTTTTGCAGGAATACGAGAATAAAGAAAACAGCCTAGCTCTGTTAATATCTGTGTTTTGACCTCAATATGTATTGTTTCAGTAGATTTTTCATGAAAGAGAAAAGTCTGAATAATTATGTAACTTACCAATCATAACAGGAACATCGATTGTTTTGCCCATTTCCCAAGCTTCAAATGGAGGACGAGGTATAATATAGCCTAGAAAATGAAACTAAATTTTATATAAATTTTATATATGGAGAAATATTCTTGATTCTATGGTCATCTGCCAAGACCACGAATACATTAATTTCCATTTGAGGTCTTCTGCAAAGATAACTATTTTGCGTCAATATTTTGATACGTCAAATTGATACGTATACGTCATTTCCGTCCATAATAATGACTGCTTTGTAAGAACATGGATATTTTGTCAGCTAAATAATGTTATAATCTAAATAACTTTTAATTCAGTAAATTTTGTAATATGCATTATACATGTATTACATAACAAAACAAAGTAAATTATTTTAATTTTAAAAATCGCTTACCGTCGACAATTGCCATGGCACCGTCAAATTGACCTTTGACCGGAAGATCACCCTGATCTAACATAGCCCAGAACGGATAAACGTTCCAAGGAACAGCTTTAATGACGTCATCTACCGGAAGATCATATAAACATTGTAAAGTGGAACATCCGGATCGTTCTAGAAAGATTTGATTATCCCGAGATGCATCGTCCAGAGTTTTATTTAAAATGGGTGAAGCACTCAGCATCCATGCTTTTTGGAAGAGACCACTTGAGAATGGAGAAGCTAGAAGCGCAAAAACACTTGTTCCACCTGAACTTTGGCCATAAAGCGTTACCTATTTTTAAAAAAGTGTTAAAAAAATGAACACTATACATGTATTTGCCTTTCCGTCGAAAAGTTTGATCTACCTGATATATTATGTAGAAAGTCAGTAACAAATATCTTACAAATATTTTTTTGAGATCAATATATTATAAGAAACATTTTTTTTTATCAAAATTGCTGAATTCATATCAAGTTTATGAAGACATAGTGTTATAAAATGAAATTGAGAAGTGTGTGTTTAGTTCAAGTTCACAGAATCAAACTTTTCAAAATTTAAACAATTTTCAAACAATTCGTATGAATATTTTTTATTAATGTTTTGTGGAACTATTCGCTAGCGACAAAAATATGGATAATATTTTCACCGTCATATTTGATCAAATGCTGATATTATCGTCATAATTATATCACAGTTAAACCAATGAAAGCGCGACATGTCAATCCAAAGGAAAATAAACCCATTCACTAAAACATATTAAAAAGTAAAAACAAATTCACTCATACTTTTTAAGTATTTATATTTGACTACTTTCACCCGAAATTAAAAAAAAAAACTAATGTGAATTAACTGACAAATATATGTACATACTTTATTTGGGTCTCCTCCGAAATTTTCAATGTTTGTCTTTACCCATTGGAGAGCAGCGAGTTGATCCATAAATCCATAGTTTCCAGACGTTTTGGTTTCGGAAGCAGACGACAGTATATCCAAAGCCATAAAACCAAAAGCATGCAGACGATAATTAAAACTCACGTGAACCATGTCTGTTTCCATCACGAGACTTTCGGTCGGACAATAAGTAGGCCAATTTCCATTTGCAAATTGTAAACTCCCGCCATGGATGTATACCATAACAGGAAGTTTGGCGCTTTTGGTAACTGTGGGCGTCCATACATTTATATAAAGGCAATCCTCGCTTCCTAGCGTTAGACTTTCGTTCAAGGGATTTTTCTGTGCGCAAGTATTTCCAAATTTTAATGCAGGGTAGATACCATGCCAACAGGTTCCCAACTCACTGTTAACGGGAATCGGTTGCTTCCATCGTCGATTTCCAACGGGGGGCAAGGCGTACGGAATTCCTTTAAATACAAAGCTCTTATCTTTGATTCCCTGAATTGGTCCACAGTCAGTAGAAATAACTAATGTTTGTCCCGCTCTAATCGTAGAGGTCCAAGAAAAAATGAAGATAGTAAATATTATCCAAGTGAAATATTTCATGGTATTGGCCAAGCGAAGAAACCAGAGACTGAAAACAAAAGGGGAAATAATAATGATAAATGAATGAATGAATAATCCCCAATTGATGGCATTTGTCAGGATTAGTGTCAATTTAACTAAATGGGCATCGACATACTCGTCATCAACTGTATTTCGCTATCTATCATAATATTTGATCTTGTTAATAATGGCAGCTGATGTTGGGACTTTGAACAGATTTGAGGAGAGGGAGAGAAAAAATAATAATGCGTATAATCTTATCTGGCAACAGAGAATCTTCTAGATTATAAAAAGAAATCTATTATAATATCATAAATGAATGGCATTTATTTTAATATTATAAATGAATTTGCAATTGGGGGGTGGGGGGCTTTTTTCCAAAAAAAAAAAAAAAAAAAAATTCAATTTAAGTTATTTAATTTTCAATATCCCACTCATTCACTTAAAAAAAGGTGCTAGTACATAAATATATAAATAGTGCTTTTTAAACTTTAATGGAAGTTACAAAAATCCAATATTCTCAACCGCATTCAACCGCATTCCTGTAAGACCGCTATAAAGGTTTAAGAAAGAGAACTTGTTGCTAATGATATTAATGACTTACACTTACAATTTCCTTTAATAAATAAATATTACACCGATGGAAGAAAGGTTACAAAACCGGTAAAATTTTACAAAGCGCATGTAGGTATTTGCCTGTCTCAAAATAGATAATATACATTTAGGTCAACTTTTTCTTAACTGTAATTTATTGTGCATACCTAGAGAGATAAGGCTTTAAAATAAATTGAGGGTACGAAGGTTACCTTAGATAAATATCATTTGCGTTTGACAAGAACGTGCCTTAAATATGCGAGTATAATGAATAGAGGATAAAATCTTCGTAACATGTTTCAAGAACAAGGGATTTTTACACTTTCACAGGATAATGGATATACCGTTTGTTTAATATGTACATGTATATATACATGTATATTATCAGCATGAAAAAAAAACCTTGATATGTTTCACCTTTTCATTGACATTTAATGACCTTGCTTGGAAAGACTAAATAACTGTTCTACTGAAATCATAGTGATAATCAAGCATCTAAAGAAATAAATGTTACCTGAATAGAAAGCACATTCACACCGGATGGAAGACGAAGAAGGTTATGTCATTTCAATAACGGAAAATCAATTTCCGAAATGCTCGGGCCGATTGCAATTCTTAACATTAGGACCAATGCCCTGAAGTCACTTGTTATTTTAACTGATCAAGAACATGATGAATTATTTACATTCATATTATCTAGATATCTAATACTATTCGGTAGTCTTCTAAATCTATACGCACAAGTTGCCTCTACATATAAAATGAAGAGTTCAAAATATCCTACAATAATTTTCATTGAGAATAATTTCTTCCGTATGGCAGCTTAAGGCGAGGGTTGAATTATCAAATTCCAAACGTCAGGGTCAAAAGGTCAAACATGTTGGTACCTAAAGGAAGGTCGCGTTTTACAAGGAATATATTAATTGTGAAAGATCCCTAGTTTTAACTGTAAAAAAGTTTTAACCAAGGTTAATTTTTTTGAAAAGTGGGTCAAACTCTAAGGTCAAGGTCAAAAATATTTATACCCACTAAAAGGTCTTGTCACAATTAATATCCGTGTGAAGAATGAAAGACCTAACTTCATATGTTCTAAAGTTGTGACGAAGGTTAAAATAGTGTATTTTTTGGTAAAAGTAGAACAAATTGAAGTTCAAAGTCAAAAGGTCAAATTTGATGGTATCCAAAGAAAGGTATTGCCACAAGAAATACACTTGACTGTGTTCATTTGATCATAATAAATCTTTGACGTTAAAATTGCAAAGTCAACATACAAAAAGAGCGCAGTTTAGAAATTTTGCGAAGTTTGAAATTTTGGCGAGTGTTTAATATTTTAATTGGTACTTATACATGATGAATTTAATAGTGTTTGTATAAATCTATATTTTTCTGTTTGTAAATTTTTGTCATGATACAAACAAAATTTCGAAAAAGATTTAATATCATCACTATCAAATTTGCCTGTAATATTTCAATAAAAAAAACAAATATTTTCAGTAAAGGTTTTGTCAGTTTTTTTTAATTCAAAAGGCAATATCACATATATTATGCTTTTCCTAATAAAAACTGGCTATAAAATCAAAAGTTTATATTACACTTTTAGCACCATGTTAACATATTCTGAAAATTGTTTATTGACAATATAATTTTATGATATATATAAAAATCAAAATATTGAGAAGAAAACTTTGTATAAAAATTCATTTTATTACTCACGCAACATACAATTTAAATCCCTACTAAACTCATTTTTCGAATATCCTTTACTGGGCTCTAATATTTCATAAAATTTTCAGAAAATGTGTTTCTGTCCAAATAAGTATTTTTATTATCAGCCTATAGTCACCTTGTGTCATGAAAGATCTATCAACATGATCAATTAATATGTAACTATTGATTTCGCATCTCGGTATCAATTTATAACATATTGGGCGCATTTATGGACTATATACTTGAGTTGTAGTCTCTTTAAACAAAATGTTGTAAAAATTCGCAAGGAAAAGCAGCTTAAATGGCTCTATGTAGTGCACGTGGTTGTTGTGTTTTCAACCAATCCATACAGAGCGGAAAACAATAACATAAAATTCAATTCTGCACTAAAATATTGCTGACATATATATCTGTACTGTGCATAATTGCCTATCGAGTTTATCAGGCATGGCGAAAATGCAAAACATAAAATTTTATTAGTAAAGGGCAAGACTAGCATTATGCATACTTGCGTTCCAGATGTGTTAAGAACCTTGGAAAAATTATAGTTAAAATTTTTAAAGGTGTGTGTTCGTTGACCATTTGAACACGTACAGCTGTAGATAAAAAGATATGTAGATATATCTTACCGGACTAACTACGTTTGGAAATTATAGAAATTATACAATTTTGAATACCTTCATGAAGTTTAGAAAACATATAATTTAATTTTGGTTGTATTATGTAGTTGTATCTTTTTAACAACGTTTAGAGGACTTAAACAAAAATGAAGAAATTATAGAATTTTCAATACCTTCATGAATTTCAGAAATCAAATGTCGTTTACTGATTTTTATTTGAAAATTAAAACAATCACAAGACAATGTATAATGCTATGTGGTGTTCTCATCTTTATTTTCAAATGAAAATCTGTAAACAGCACGACTAAAGTCACAGTCACCAAGTGATATCCGTAAATAAAAAAGAAAAGCAAATGATTCCGTGCTCCACCTTCGTGAGTATATAGATCGTTTTAGCAATCAGTACTACACACCAATAAGAGGAATATCAGCGATATTTTTAAATGTTCTGAATTTGCCAATTTGCAAATTTATAATTTTGCCGGCAAATGGTTATATGTATAACTTGAACTTGGTCTGAAAGTCTGTGATGTATCATAACTTCATAATAGTCGCGAAGAACGGAGTTGATCTTGCGTTGAAGCGTTGCAGATTCGATTCCCACTGTAGGGCGTGGGGAACGGTCTCAGGCGCAGATCCAGGATTTTTTTTCTAATGGGGGAGAGGGGGATGGGGTCCAATCCAGTTAAAAAAAAATTCAACCCAGAAATTTGTCGACAAGCAAATAAAAAAACCCCCACAAAACAAGATCTCGCCATAACGTGAAAACTCTATTTCGTGGGGCGTTGGAGGGTAGTCGTTAACTTCCAAATTTTCTTCATATGTATTAGGGCTGTCACGGTTCCAAAATTTTTCGGGTCGGGTCGGTTCTGATTTTTTTAGGTTCGGTTTCGGGTTTTTCGGTTCGGGTAGGTAATGGAAGAAAAGCTCATGATTTGTATTATTTTCAACAACAAAAAGAACATTTTCATATAATCTTAGAAATAGCAACATTATAACTTGCTTAAAGTAGCCTCCTGACTAGACAACAATTGTACCAAATTATTTAAATCACCTTATAATGACAACGTACTAACAAATGTCTCCTTTTTGACGCCATTTTTATAGCAAAATCTACTCTATTATACAAATCGGAACCGAACCAAATTCCGGAAAAACGGAACCGTACCCGACCTGAATTAATTGTTCCGCGGTGGCGGGTCATTTCGGGTACCCGTGACAGCCCTAATATGTATTCATACCTATGACCTTTCATGCCAACTTGACATATCCAAGTTTTTGAAGGGGTGGGTGATGGTTTTTGGGGGGGGGGCAAACTTTTTATTTAAAAAATTTAGTAAAAATTGCAGGGGGACCCTAATCACTCTCCCCCTCTAGATCCGCGCATGGGTCTTTCGGAAGAGACCCTATATACCGATCGAGATCCAAGTCGCGGCAGGTTGCAAGCAAATCGAAATTTATTTATCAATTGACTGTGCTTTTCATTACGTAAAAAAGTATAAATAGAAATTGGGCAGAATGTTCGCGACAATTTTTTTAATCAGCATTATCGCTTATACAGAGCAGGCTGCTCTGAATCTTGCATATAAAATACACATCAGGTCTATTTATTCTTTCACCTAAGAACATCTTACAGTTTTAAACAATTTTTTCTGAAGAATACATGTTTAGGTAACGGAAATGAAAAAAAATAACGAAATTCATGTATGTAAAGAAAATCTATCAACGAAGATCCACCCAATAAAAGATGGAGTTGATTATTTAAGATGGTTGTGTCTTAATCATATTAGTCGTGCTGAGTAGTACCAGAGCTGTGATTTTCTTTTTTATTGATAATACAAAAGATAATGAAATAGATTGAAAAAAAAACCCAGAAGAGCTAGAAAACGTGAATAGAAATAACTATTTATTTAACAAAATTTGTAAAATTACATTTAATAAAATGACATTTCATTATTTAAGTATTTTAAGAATTAACGTGAAAGATAAATGGTGGTCCGGGCAAATCATTTACTTTTCCGTAGACAGCACATTTATAGAAAGGACAGGGGCTTTCCCGCCAAGCGTATCTGACCTGTACCACGTGATTTCCATGGCCACAGGAAGAAATGTCTAAGGTTACAGTAGCAAAATCATGTGACGTCATCGTCGTGTTCATCCAATGAGTGTCAAATCCATTGCAGTAGGTTGTGGTCTTATTCACGCAACATATCTTCAGATGAAAACACATTCTATGCAATTGGCAGTCATCAAGAGCTTAATTGAGGTAATTGTTTATAAATTAAATTCATAATTACTAATTTTACACAGACAAACTTTAGATGTTTTTTTTAATACGAAGAAAGCATGTTTGAATATTGCATGTAGTTGAGTGTAACAATGAAAATTTTCACCCCAAGAAAACCATTTTCAACCGAGGGCGAGGTTGACAATGGTTTTCGAGGGGTGAAAATTTTCAATGTTACACTCAACTACATGCAATAATTATTATACTATACTAAATGTTTAATAAAAATACATATAACAATGAACCGTGCTCGCATAAATTTTGCGCAGTCGGTATTTTTGGGAATATTATCCGTCGTCAAGCAATATATAAATGGTGCCTGGTTTGGAGGGTAACAGTTGAAATTGACACCCCAAGGAAAACCATTGTCAACCAACGCGACGTGTCAACTGTTACCCTCCAAAACAGGCACCATTTATTTTATTACACTGAATGTCTTCTTAAATTAAGTCAGCAAAAAAAAAATCGTCGATCATCTTTACGTTCACGTTTAGAAAGGAAGAAACTATCGCTACTTCTAAAAAGATTTACTGACCTTTTTATTGTTTGTTTGATACTATAAGAGTCTTTTATCATATAAAGTTTTGTTGTATTTCTGCACTCGCAAGCATGTTTCGTCTGTTTTCAAGTAAGCTACATCGGACGCAAGCTTTTATTGACGTCAAGTTTATTCCAGTTCTTTCAAACGCGCAACTGACGTTTTGAGAATTCTACGGTGAACCGTACGCGCATAATATCCACGCATGTGGCATTACCGTTGTGTTATCCGTTGTCACATGCGTTGCTAAGGCTGAGGGTAATACAACGGATTGTTAACTGCGTCTAAACCAATCAGATTTTAGTATTTAACATGAAAGTATAATAATGTTGATTGTTGCTTCGCTGGAGGACATGGCTTCATTATTTAGCGGGTATAATAATGTTTTTTTTTAACAACTGATTCTCGACCTATCAGATTCAACTAATTTACATGAAAGTATGATATAAATAAATGATTTCATATGGTCTCCTGTGCAGTGTTTGCTTTAGAGTCTCTGATTAAGCTGATGATCTTGTAGACATCTTTCCATTAAGTCAACATTATAAACTGACGCTCAAAAACCATACAAACATGCGTCCAGCCTTTCAAATTCTTCACATTCATGAACATGTGAAAATTACATTAATTGGATTGACATTAATATGTACAATGTACATCTGATTTTTACCAAAAATTTTTTGATTTTACCTCAAAACCGCTGTTTGATCTGACTTCAATAGGAGTTAGTCCTCGTCCATACTCAATAGTAAGATGGCGGTGTGTGCTGTCAATCACAGCAGACGTAGGAAAAGGTCCCTCAAAATCTACATCTCTCTCATGGTAGGCCACGCCTAGGGCTGAAAGGTACAGCCGATAGGCTACGTCATGTTTGTAACGGGGATGTATGCTGTAATGGGAAAATATAGTTTGTATCATAAAAATATTATTCAAGTGATTTTTCTCTTTTAAATCTTATGAGTATAACAGTGAGCATTTATTAAAAATGAATATCTTTATGATTTTAGTGTATGTAAAGCACGACTATTGCACGAATGTATATATAGTGCACGATTGCTATCAGAGAAATGATTTTTTTTTTCATTCCCAGGCTCAATTTCGTTACGAGCTTACTAAAATGTAGCATACATATTTATGTATATGAGGATTTAATATGCAATGGATCAGAAGTGTTCGCCCCAGGCACATTACTACATGGACATGTATAAGCATAGTAAACTCCATGCATTAACACCATGTGATTAACAACATCATTTCATTTTTCAATTCATTAGACATGGAACTTATATGGATAGATAGTTGAAAATTATATATTACCTTCCGTAGGGTGATTGGAAGTCAGGGAGATCAATAGCTACAGCCATAAACACATTGTGTAGAAGTGAATTAGGAACGTATCCGATGTTAGCTGTCTGTGCCCAGCGAAGTTGTGGAAAGCCTAGATACGCCTCCCCTTCTTTCCACGGTGCCAACTGCAAAAAAGTAGAAAAGTCTTTTCAAATGCCTGAATGATTAATTTTCGTACACTGTGGAAGAATTTTTGGTCATATTGATATATTTTTGAAAGACTTTCAACTGAGAAATTCAAATGAATTTCACACATCAAATTTCCAAAAAAAAAAAAAAAATAAAAAAAAAAAAACAAAAAAAAAAAAAAAACAAACAAACAAAACAAAACCACAAAAAAAAGTCGTTATCTTCAGCCTTTTATTTTAGAAACAAGACATCGATATTAGATAAGTTGATTAACTAATTTCAATTTATAATCACCTGTACAAATCCAAAGGGAAAGGTGGGGTTGGTTGTTCCCAGTGATGCTTGGTTGAATTTCATTCTCCAGTCTTTTATCATTTCAAGAAACTGGCAAGAGTAATGATATGCGTGTTTGGCGTTAGACTCCCCTTAAAAAGAACAATAAAAATAATCAAATCTCCTGGAACTATATAATTAAAAAATTCATAGATATAAAATTTTCAGGCTTTCCTTTTATATTTTAAGATATGTGTGGCTGGCTAAAAATTGTTAATCAAAAAAGAACAGGATCCATTATACTGTATAAAAGAATAATATGCAATTCAACAGAAAATTGGAGGCATCTTGGGTAGGTTGATTTACCTTGGTACCAGATAACACCTTTGATTGTATTTCTCAGCAGCGGATAAATCATAGAATTGTACAATTGACTATTGGAATACTGGTTCCTGTAAAAGTTAATTCAGATTAATGAAACCAGAAGTAGGCCTAAATGTATATTGGATACATTTTTATTGTGATAATGTCTTTTATTTACATGGATTTATACTTCAAAGACGGTTATTGTAGAAAGGAACCTTTTTCGGCCATGGGCTCCAGAACAAGCAGATAAAGCATCGGGTGATGACCAAGCTTCTATTCTAGTACCGCCCCAGTTTGTCTCAACCAGTCCGATTGGATAGTTAAAATGCTGTGACAAGTATTTTCCATAAAGCCAGCAAACGGCAGAAAACCTTAGAAGACTCTCTGAGGAAAAAGAAACGCAATGGGAATTATCAGTCAAAAAGACATGTCCTAAAGATTTGTATATGGTCAAAGTTCAGATAGATTAGGTCATAAACATACGCTGATTTGGTTTTAACCACGCTGCGTCTATGTGTTTTACATCTGTATAAACTGTCGGCGAGAATTCCCGGTGAACATGAAAAAGACGGATGTTTTGGTAATTTGCACTGTCTGCATATTCCTCTGTCGCATTCAAAAGCTACAAAAAGCAGTATTAATTATCTGCATACACTTGTAAACACAATTTATGAGAAAGTGAAATAACGAGTGGCAAATCAATTTCGTTTTTTTAAATTTGTATCTCACCCTAGAGGCAAAAAACTCCATATTGCTTTGTCCTGAACAAACCCAGACGTCCCCAAAGAGGACGTCAGAGATTTGAACTGTTCCCAGACTTGAAGTTGCAGAGACATTGTATGGGCCATGGTCCGTGGGACTTGTAAACTTAGCTTCCCAGATCTGATGGCTGTTAACAGTAGTCCTTGCAACTTCATTGTTGTTTAGTTTTATGTGTACTACGTCACCAACTTTGGTAGAGTGACCCCAGATTGTTGTTCCTGTTGAACTCTGTTGTAGTACCATGTGGTCATGATAATAAGAGGAGAAGGTGAAAGTCGCCGAAGCTTAAAAAATAATTCGTATTTCTATAGATTTTGAAGGTAATTCCAACAGCATTGTCACTCAAGTTTGCATATCATGCAAATTAACACATCAGTTGGTCAATTTTCATGGAATATGTAAAAAGGTTTTCAAAGAAAATCAGGATGGTTACAAGTATGTGCAGCTTTAAAAAAGAAGACTTCCTTCCAACCGATTTAATACAAAACTGGTATGAGAGGGAAAGATTGCAAAGGATCGTCTCATAATATTACCTTCAGGCACAAACGCTTTTCCTTATTTTAGCGGACACAGTTGTCCTTTGCAGATGAACACTGAATAAGAATATTGACTAATTTAGCGAATAAAATTTTAGCGGGCTATCATCAGAACGCCAAAATAAGCCAATATTAGCACCTCGCTAAAATAACCCGCTATACGGTAGTTATCACTACACTATGTTTACATATTGCCATTATTTCGTTCCTCTTCGTATAAAAATCCCATTTTTACATCAATTGATTGACTTAAAACTGGTAAACTCTTTTCCAATTCATTCATGTTTCACTTTGATATATCTCGATTGACATCACAGAGCTTATATGTTTTATGATTGGACGGTTTGGCTTACAAGGGATGTGACCGGTCAACCGGTCAACAGGGGATGCTTACTCTTCCAAGAAAACTGACCCCAGTTCTGAAGTTTCCAGAGGGTCTTTTTTAATTGCCCCCTCTACAGATTTGTACTGCTTGAAGAGTTTTTAAAATGACAGCGCATTATTCGTAAGTTCTGTGAACCAACTTGAAATGATCTGTCTGTTTGTTTCAATATTTTATACATGTCTACATGTAACATAAGTGAGTTTCTGTGTAAAACGCACCACACAAAATTCGCATCAATATCGCTTTTAAAAGATTTTTAAAAAGTATATAGTAGACAAAGTGTTAAGGCGACTATGGTAGAAACGTGAATTACTTAGTAATTAAAGATACATGTAAAATTATTAAACTTTCAATTTGAGTTGCACCTAAATATCATAACCATACACCATCTCATTGTATTATATTTTAGTTCAGATTTGCCATATATACTTTTAAGATTTTGCTTACTTGTATAATTCTACGGATTAATAAAGTACAATAATTTTTTTTACTTTCCAAAAAATCCCTGCAAAATGATGGATTCTCTGCAAAAAGGTGCGAACATGTAAATTTGATGAACTGTTACACACCTACTTGAAACACATAGCAATATCTTTTCATATTCCGAAAAATTCCAATATGCATCGAATAACAAAATAATTTCCATTCATAAAATTCCAACAGCATCACAAAACAATTACTATACGAGTTTTCAATGAAAAAATAAATCTTGTTGAGTCCTTGGCAGGTATACATGTACCGTAACTGTGTTTCAGTTTAGAAGTGGAATGTACTCTTTATTTTCCTGCAGCGGAAAGTATAATTATAAAGAGTTACATGCATACTGCCTTGCGTTACTTGTAGATTTCTAGTTATGTGGAATAGCCTTCTTGTATAAATAAGTACAATTTAAGCAGGTTAGCAGCAAAAAGCATGTTGAATCTTTTAATGGATGATCGCCTCAGAGGATATTTCTGCAGCGGAGAGGATAAAAGAACTTATATTGCCTGGCTAAAAATACAGCTTCTCTAGTAGTTTATTCTATTAATTATTTCAAGTAAGTTAAGCAATGACAAACATCTTCAACTCCTCAATGGGTGACCGTTTCACATTATACGTCATTTTTTCATATCAAGCCTACCTAATTTGTCTGGACATTTTATGGAATTAGTTTTTACGAATAAATTTGCATTTGCGTTTAAAACAACTGTGATCTTATCCGCCTTAATTACGAGGAATGACATATTTTCTTTTACACTTTATAATATTATTATATCAATATAATTTTCAAGGAAAACTTACAAGTAGGCGTTATAAAGGCGAAAAATGTGAAGAGTATCACCTGCCACATGGTCGGTATTTTTGTTCCTTATCTGGCGAGATTTAGAGATCTAGCTCTTATCGGTGTTATTTATGTCATAGATGTTGAACCCAAAGGGTCACTATGGAGATAAAACTTTAAAAAAAAATCATAAAATGAACTGCATTTCTTTTATTTCACAGTATTTTAATGACGGCAAAAACATAACAAAAAAATCAAAGCAAAATGAAAGGAAAAGTTTCCAATTTTTTGGGGATCTAGATTATGAATTAATTATTTTTTTTCATTGCTTTGAACAAAAAAGTCGCAATTTCAATTTTATTGCAGTCTGAATTGTACCTGAATATCTTTGTCTTAATTAATTTTAACCAGCTGCAAATCAGTTGATCGTAGATTGAAAAAAAAAACATCCTGGAAGAACAACTAATGAATCACCTATTCACCATTCTAAATATTGATTGCAAGATCTTACACACTGGAAAAAAAAACAACTTAGTAAAAGTCACTAAGAATACTAGTAGATTTACTGTCCATACAGTCACCACCTTAAAAGTAGTTTTTAATGGGTATTGGGAGAGATTTTCTAGATAACATTAGTAAATCTTAAATTCATAAGTAACTTTCACTAGGTACGTTTTTACCTTTCCTCTGCTTCACAGGACAGCCTCTACACACTACCCTAGCTAGTAAACAAAATGATGAAAAATAATAACGAAAGTTCTACGAAGCAAACTCGTTAATCAAAACTAGGTTTTTCTTTCAGTGTATGTATAATTTATGCTGTGTTTTGCACTTGGCTTTGAAAGATAATTAAGGATAAGATAGGAAGGAAAACTTGTGAAAAAATGATAGAATGTCATATTTCATTGCCATCTCAGGAGCTAACGTGTAAGGTGAATTGAGGGCCAGGCAAAGTGTTATTTTTTTAGTACACTGCACATTGGTGAACAGCGAAATTATTTTCCCGACAAGCATATCTGGCCTGTATCACGTGTATTCGATGATTTCGATGATTGCAAGGTAAAATATTCAGAGTTATAAAGTCATGTGACGTGATAGTTGAGTTAAGCAGTATGTTTCAGATGGGTTGCAAAATTTTGTGGCATGGTAAACAGCAGACTTAAGAAGCAAAAAATGATTTTGATTAGAAAAGTTTATAGACCATTACATATCAACTACCTTACTACATGTACTCCTTTGCAGAAAACGTATACTTTTAGTAAAATATGAATTAAAAGCAATCATTTTTATACGTGACAAAAATTTTCCAAATGCGTAATTTTTCAACATGAATTGCAACATAGCTCAACCTCTTTCTTCATTTAAATGAAGCACTTTTTGCTGCTGTTATATACTGATCTCCTAAAGAAAGGAGATAACGCATTGTTCTCTTCACTGACTTGCACTTTAAAAATCGATTATCAAGTGTACCGCAAGAAACTTTATACATTGATGACAACGTCTTATCTCACATTAACATTATCTTACACTGTCTGAGTTAGACACTTGCTTCTCATGACGAAAACAATTGCGATAATTTCTTCGGTATATAGAACCTTGATTTAAGACAATGGTGACAAAAGTATTGTTTTTTCACTTTCCTCTTGGAAAAGTGTTTTTGTAAAAACACCTGATATGCGGGGGAAACCTTGGGTATCGGATTTCAGCGATCATTGTGACGCCATTCATATGTTGTTCTGACAGACCTCAAGTGTCAAAGTTCAAACCTTTATTATGTTAGAAGAGAATTATTCATAAAACCAAATTTTATTACAAAAGAAAACCTCTTGTCTAATGTCATATTTTAAAGAATGTGAATCTTGTATCTACGACTCCGTATTATGGCTGTCATATATATACATATATATATATATATATATATATATATATATATATATATATATATATATATATATATATATATATATATATATATATATATATATATATATATATATAGGCATATTTTCTAGTATTTACATTTCTAAGTTATTTTTTAAAATTTTATATTCTAATCGCTAAAAATATATATTCGTTTTTCTTTTAAAAAAAAAAATAATTGTACACACATAAATTATTTCAACTTTTGAAAATTAAATCCAACCCAAAGTCTTTTTCTTTTTAAAGATATCAATATTCAAAAGTTAAAAAAACAATTTTTGTTAGGTCACACAAAAAATAATCCTTTGTTGACATTTGTTGACATTGCGTGAAATCACCGTCGAAAAATTAAATTTATCGCTTACATGTATAACTCATGAAGAACAAACCCGAGCATTTTTTCCACAACAAAGTGTACATTATTTTTTGCCCTCGTTACTAAACTCCCTTTTTAAAAAATCTTTTAAAATATCTGAGTTTCCTTTATTCTGTAAATATGCATATTAATATAAAAATTACTATGGATTATATTCAATTAATTTCTTAATTTTTAAAAGATATATCATGACTTAGGATTCTACTTAATATAAAAAAAAAACTGGGTTTAATTCTCTTCATAACTAGATATAACCGATAAAAGTATTTTTTTTCAAAGGTGACTTCAAAACAGATCTTAACTTCCCGTCAGGAACTGCAGTTTATCAACAAGGTTTTTGGTCTATGTTTTCCATGTAAGGATTTTTGTTATAAACTATTAAATCAATCTTATAATTAATTTTTATATATTATCTATGTAATGACATACTTTTATTGTTTCAGATAATATGTGCCTGTTTCGAATGAAGCGGCTTTAAGATTCTTTGCAAACAGGAAGACTGTTCATTTCCTTATTAACTACAATGCATGAATATTTTCATTTTACGTCATAATTTGACGTCAAATCTATAATGCAAACTGTTTTGCTTTCCAAATGACAGTTGAATGACATAAAATTGTGGCAAAACATCAGAGAAATAATGTAAATATAAGAAATGAATTTCATTTTTAAAGATTAATGAGCTAACACGCTTCATTAAATATGTTGTCGTGAATCTACAACAATGAAATTCATTTCTTAAATATAAGAAAATTGCTATACTGATCCCTATGAATGCAACATTCCCCATTTTTAGAAATGCTATTTCACATTTTATTTTTTTTGTTTGGTCTTTAAAATACATTTATTTTTTTCTTTTCTTACAGTAAATCTGTTCTTTTTATTACATAGTACGTACTCCTCCTTGATGGCCTGTGCTTTGGCAAGAGAAACAGATGTCTATTTTAGTACATTTATTTGTTTAATACGCCGAAGCCTCTTCTTACACTGAATCTAATACCTTTATATGTCTGTTTTCATGTCTGCCTGTTTTTTTTTTTGTCTGTCCGTTTGTACATGTAATATCTTTTTTTTATCTTTTAAATTAAAGGAATTATTTTTTTTTTGTATTTTTATCACATGTAGTATCATGCATATTGATACTGCGTTCGAAAAATGTCATAATAATCGCATCCAAATGCATACGCTATAAAGCTGTAAGGTGTAAAATTTATCTGTCCAAAACTAAATTCATATATATATTTTTAGCTATCACGTAAACATTACATGAATTTTGTAGAATACTCAAATACATGTATAATATAAAAGTTCGCTTTCAAGAAAATAATTGCCATTAGAATCAGATTTCATAGTTATAAAAAAATTTATTTTGCTACCACATTTCTCCTCATCCCTAAAACGTGATCGACCTGTTTTGAGGTGGAAGTTTTGGATTATAAAACCAATATTTTACAGTTAATGCAAAAAAGATCATTTTAGCAAATGTTCAGCACCAATACCCTACACGTTATTAGCAATAGTCTCCGGACATAATGTTGATAATTTTTCAGAAGAGTAGGAGTAGAGTAATGCAACCTTCTTTATTTATTTATCACATTTCGCATAAAAAACCGTAAAAAGCAATAAATACATATTTTATATACATAAAAGAACCCTCATCGCTTATGTTCAGGAAACCAATAATTTGTACGTTGTCTTTAGGTCCGTCATTCGTGAAATTTGTTAAATCAAGGATTTTTGAGAAGTATATTTTGAATAAGAACTCATATAGTGTGACTGAAAATCGCAAATAAAATAGGGGGTCAGTGTGCATCTTACTTATCTACGGTACAATTAAGTTGGCCTTTTTGCACTTAAATTTTGACTCTTTGGTTAATTCCTTTAACCTTTATCAAATTATATCAGATGTAACTATGGCAATAAATATAATTTTATTTTACGCAAAATAATTGAAAAATATTTATCATTGAACAAATCTTGCAAATTAATGCGCGTAAATTATTATATGACCTTTTTGCACTAAAAAAAATCATATATGAGGTATTAAAATACTAAATTGGGAAAAAAAATTTTCTTAAACCAAGCTTTTACGGCTTAGATGGTGTTCAGTCACAAGTATTGAGTACTTTGAAATAATGAAAGAAAAAGTTAGGGTCAGTGATGTTAGTATTGAAATATTGGTCAAAATATGTGATTTTCAGGCAAAAAATGGTGTAAATTTTATCTTGACTTATTTGACACATCTTCATTTTTTTGGCAAAGTTTGTTAAAGGAAGGTGTAAAACTTGTTCTAAAAATATAAATTAAGACCTATCTTAAATATTCCAATCAATATCATAACGGAAAATATTCTCCGAGTAAAAGTATGTGAGGCTAAAGTTCCAAGATATTAAATTTAATAAATTTGCAGATTTGCAGAATTATCTGCTAAATATCCTTCCACCACAAGAAATAGTCCCTAATAAATTTTGCTTCTTTGTAGCTTTTTGAGCAGTATTTTCGTTTAATGTTAGAACATTATCATTGTCAAATTTAAACACATGTTAAATATGTAATAAACATTGAATTTTAATAAATAGTTTTGAAATAAGAGGTTCTGTGTGAACTTTTCTAAAATGTGAGGAGTGACATAACTTTTAATCTTTAAGATAGTCTCTACAATTTCTACCATACCTATTTGTTTAATTATGTACTTCTTTCTACAACATCGCTTTGCTACATAATCGGAATCACATTGGTCTATTACTCATTAAAACAGAATAACGCTGCATTGTTTTGT